AAAAAAAAAAAAAAAAAAAAAAGACGAGTTTCCCGTGACAATAGATCGATGAAGTGCAACGCGATTGATCGACCAACCTGTGTCTCCGGGTTCTCTTATTTCCCTCCGCATCCGGCGCGCTTCATTATTCTGTTTCACGACGATGAGGCACGCACTCGAGCAACGAAACGCGGCCGAGAAATGAAACGAAGAGAAATGCGGAAGTAGACAACGTAAGAGCGCGTGAATAGTCGTCGCGTTAACACGTCGGCGGAAAGAAGAGACAGTACAGTGACGAAGAAGAGGTCGACAGAAATAGACAGGTACAGAAAGAGAGGAAAGAGTAGAAAGAGAGAGAGAGAGAGAGAGAGAGAGAGAGAGAGTCAAGGTGGACAGACAGACAGATTTTTTTTTTAACAAACAGATGGAGGTAGTTAAACAGATAGATGGAAGAAGAAAAGAAACAGAAGAAATAAAAGAAAGAGAACAACAAATAATAGAGTAGATTCAAAGAGAAGGAGAGAGAGAAAGAGGAAAGAGAGAGAGAGAGAGAGAGAGAGAGAGAGAGGGAGAGAGAGAAGTGGAAAGAGTGGTGTGTACAGAGTAATACAGAAAGAGAGATCCGTTGTTCACCAGGCTTCTCAGGCGCCTTAGGTACTTCGTAATTAGAGACAAAGAAAAATAAGAACATTAAGTAGTTGGTGTTGGTCATTACCGTTCGGGTCCGGGGCAATCGGGTACAATGATTGAGGCTTTGTACTGTCGGGCCGTGGTGGTTGGTGGTTGGTTCATTGGTGGTTGGTTGGTGGTTGTTGTCGATTGTTGGTAGGGTCGTGGTGGTCCATTTGCCGATTGAGTCGGGGTCCGTCGTTCCGGGCAGGGCAACGGCAGGGCAACGGCAGGGCAACGCCAGGGGGGCAACGCCGGGGTTGGGGCGGGGCCAGGGCACAAACCATCAACCAAGTTAGACATCACGTCTGACGGCTGGATTAATTCGCGGCTTAATCTCCTAACGACCTCCCTCTCCTCTTTTCTACCCCCCGCGTTTTCCGCTTTGCGCGTTTGTTAAACGACCCATACTTTCTCTCTTCCTTTCTAAGCTTCTTCTTCATCTCTACCATCTCACGCGACATCTCGTCGACGAGGTGGAGGATCGACTACTGCTGGAGCGGGCGAGAAAAATATTGGCAAGTCGAGAGTTACGGGAATCGCGCGAAAATGGAATGTCTCACTCTGCCTTGCAGAGAGTGCTGCGGAACCTCGCAGAGTCGCGCCGTGAGAGATCGCGAGCTATTCAACGAGAGATCGGTCGGTTATTCGGTTGAAAAGTTTCGACTTTGAGATTCTCCCGCGCGGTCGTGATACGATTGGCGAGAGCCCGGCCAAGTTACAGGGAGAAACCGTCCGGCTTTTCTCCTCGGCGAAGTGCTTAATCGACAGACGTACTTGTATCATCCCGGCAAAGGCCGCGAATCGGGCACACGATGCCCTTCCCTTCCCCCCTGCTTCCCCGAAGCCATTAAGAATTCTGAAGGCGTACTCGAATAATTTTCTCTCTCTTTCTCTCTCACCCCTCCCCCCGGCGCGGCAGTTAATTGACGTCACTCTGCCTCCACGGCGACCCGAAGAATATTTCAATTGCTAACGAAGTGCGCGCTAAACGCCGTTAATCAAGCAAGTTTTTAATCTTTAAACGAAGAGGTCTATTAAAGCGTCCGGTGGTGGTGGTGGACTTGCCGGCTCGTAACTGATAACCGTTTCGCCCGAGTTTTATCGGCGCAAGTAACGAAACTTTCGCGAGAGGAAGCGAAAAGAACACGGCGCGATAGATGCGCGATAGTTTCGCGAGTTTCGGCGCGCGAATGGAAATAGTCACGTGCTCGCGTTGCCGAGGTTCTCCGCGCTGCAACAAAGTGCAAGGCGAAACGAATCGCTGCAACGTAGCGAAAGTTCCATTTTCCGGTCTGCTCTTCGCGAGGAACACGCGACCGCCTTCTTATCCACGCGCGCTACCGAAGTACGTTAAAAACGTACCTCGACGTCGGACCGCCGGCAAGAAGCGATTTCGCGTCGAGGTAACTGCGAATTATGGCAGTTTGCAAGCTATCGATCGACCAACACTTTTTGCAACGGACGCGAGTGGACATTCGCCTCCGATGTACACGCGACTTCCCAAATATCTTTTTCGCGCGCGTGCCCCATTAAAAAGCAGCCCTCTGCCTCGAGCCAACGCGACTCTGTCGCCCGTGGTAGTTCGCCAAGTGTCCGCGCGTTTGCGAACCATGAGACTCCAGAATGCGACAGAAGGTACCCCCGCCTTTTGCTGAGAGAGGCTCTCATTGAGAGCCGCCGGGTAGGGCAACGCAAACTAGAAATGCATCGCCGAGAGATTCGTCCTCGGTGATTCTCGTCGGACACGGCACTCTCTGTGAATAGTGTAGTCGGCGGTGGACGATGACAGAATGATGACCGAGTCAGGATCTCGCAACATGTCGAACGACCTCCTCGGCTCGTAAAATTAACTGACTGTGCCTGTTATTAATATTATTATTATCACCCGATAATTACATCGTTGCACTTTTGCCGCTCAGCGAGTCGCATAAATTACCTTAATCAAGTAACAATCCGAGTGGATGAACCAATAATGCGGATGATAACGTATCGATTTGAAACGTGTCTACAGGGAGAGAATTTTTGATGAAAATTACTATAGAATTTTGCAACCGGGAAATAGATCAATATTTTGCGGTCATTTATTATCCTCTTATTTCGTATGTGCTACTTATATTTTAGGAAATATAAGTAGCAGGTTAAGTAGGGTTTCTATTTAATTATGAAATTATACCTCAAGAATTAAAATGTGTTATACATTAAAAGATTATGATTTCAGCGAAATTTACTGCACTGAGAAAAGATAAAGTAAAAAATTCTCTCATTTGATGTGTACTAATAACACATTTACTCGTACTGATGTATGCATATTTTTATATTAAGCAACAATTTTTTTCAAGTGAGAAAATATACATTTCTTAGCTTTTTATGACAGCAATTTTCTATTCTATTTAAACAAAAGAGTTTATATTTAAAAAATATGTTACTAGTACTCGAATAATTATTTCTTTATTTTCTTCATATTTTTTCTCTCACACACACAGTGTATGTTATTTAGTTGCAAGATAGACCTTATACTGACAGTATATTCCTGCACTACTAAAAATGTATAATAAAATTGAAAAGAATTTATATATAAAAAAAACTTTAAAGACAATGTTTCCTGTGTTGATATTCAACGAATAAAGAGAACAAGAATATATAAAAACCTCTAGACAAATAAACAAATCTAATTCTCTCCATGTATAAATCCGAAGGCGTATACGACGAGAGGATAGATTAATCGCTCGGTCAGTCTAGCGGATCGAAAGTCGCCGACTATCAGTTTCGAAAGTGCCGTGTCCGTTCGCCCTGAAGCGTGGAATCTCAGAGCTGTTCGCCGTAGTGTCGGTATTCTCGCGGTCCATTTGCGGTGCGGGTGACACACCTGCGACATGGCCCATCGGGAGAGAGAAGGACGAGTTCTCTCGCGGCACGTACCCTGGCTGTCGTAAAAAAAGCCAGTGCACCCCCGAACGAGGAACGTGCATGCGCTTCGATGGACTACGAATGGACATGGACGTGCCTGCCGGCGGCGGCGGCGGAGGCGTCACAAAGTGTCCGGGTAATTTGCGACGATGTCACAACCGCACGATTAAAGAGCGAAATTTATGCCATTAACGCGACACCCCTCCCTGTCTGTCCCCCTGAGTGCACTTTAGCATCGCAGTTCAGTCCGATGGCAGTGCGACACACGACTGAAGCCACTCGGGCATCACTCACCCTCCCCCGTATCGAGCCTCCCCCGTAAACCCGTGACTCGGCGAAGACGGTGACATAAGTAAGTGACGTGATCGTGTAATCGGAATTTTACGCGGCAGCTGCGAGCTCACGAAGGACACGGGTTTACGGTACAACCTCCCTCCCCCTGTAACCTTGATTGCCACCTTCGTGTCTTAGCTATCGCGGAGATGCCTTATCGATGCGCTATCGCATCATTATCGCGGGGCATCAAATTACTTTTACGTGGCGGAATTTGAGCGACGCTCGTCGCGAAGTCGGCGGATACGATTACGAAAACGCGAGAGAACTTAATCTGAACTCTCTTTGATCGATGAAAGTGCCTCTTAATGCGACTGGAAGTCAGTCAAAAGGCTTATGAGCCGCACTTTGGGCTTGTATCGATAATCGCCACCTGAAACTCTTGTCTCATATTCGGTTCTCTTTAGATACAAGTTTGTTAACTGAATTATGATATATAGATCTGTTCTTTTCAGCTGAATTATCTGAACTGGTGTACACTGTGTAACAAGTTGGAGCGAGACGAATATATATTTTTTTTACTCTAACTTATTGCACCAATCTGCACCAGTTCAGACAATTCAGCTAAAAAGAACAGACCTAACGTGACATTTGCAATCGCGATTCAACTAAAAAAAAAAAAAAAAAAAAAAACAAAAAAAAAAAAAAAAAAAAATGAAAAAAAAAAAATAAAAAAAAACAAAAACAATCAAAAATAAAAAAAAATAAAAAAATAAAAAAAAAGAAACATAATTCTGCCACAGCCGGTCCCAAGCCCGTGT